TTTTAAAATGAATTCATAAAACAAAAAAAAAAGAATTTTTTTTTTTTACAAAAACTCTTATGCTGATTGTTTTTTGAAGTACTTTAATTTGCAAAGCAAATTACAAATGACATGTTGAAATTTAAAACTATTAAAATTAAACTTCAATCCTTTATTATTGATATTCCAAAATGCAAATTCATTTTATTGCCTTCTTTCTTTCTCTCTCTCTCTCTATTAAATTAATATCTTGAAACTAGCAGAGAATTTAATTTCATTTTGTTTAATTTTTGAACGATACTCATTTACGATGCTCATTTGCCTACTGTGAGAAGGAGGTTGAATTGATGAAATTGCGCAATGATAACCAGTTATTGCATGGCGATTAGTTGTTGATGTTACTGTTATTCAATATCCCACTCAATTTGCACTTATTCAGGTCAACTGCTCACCGTAACCAACAATTCCATTTTATTTTATCATTAAAAGAAAAAAAAAGATTAAACAATCAATAAATTATTCATTCAAACTTTTACTCAAAAAAAGCAGTCTTTTTTTTAAATTAATTTAATCTCAAAATTTTTAATTAAATCTAATCATTTAATAAAATATTGCTGCTATAATTGCATAAGATTTACTAAGAAAAGAAAATTAATTTTATGTATTTTTTTTAAATTTTTTTTTTCAAAAAATTAAATAAATTGGACTGATATTTCAAAGTAACAGAAATGGTTGAGTTTTCTTTTTTACAGTTTAACTGATTCTTTTTTGCAACTTATTAAATGTAATAAATTTGTATTTTTATTGCAACAAAAGATTCATTCATTCATTTTTGCTTCGTATTTGATTTCTTGATTAAGTATGATAACAGATATTTTTGTTTGGATATGTTTTCAATTGATAGTAAAAACCAATCAAAAGAAAACCTAAGCTGTAACAATAAACTGTTGTTGTTTACAGTTAGAGTGTAGCAAAAATGCAAAAAAAACTGAGGTTAAAGGTCGAATGAAGAGAAGATGCAATGTCACCAATTTATTTAACAACTCTTTACCTCTCTCTCTCTCTCTCTCTCTCTTAATGCAAATAACGTAATTGATGGAAAAGTAAGCAATGTTATATGCAAAACAAATATGATAAAATATTTCTTCAACATTATTTATATGTTTTGTTTACAAAGCACAAAAAGTGTACTTTCTAAAAAAAATGAATGATTTTGTTTGAGATGTGAAACTGTAATTCACACATGGGACTATTTACATCTGATAGTAAAATCAATACTTAAAGTTTCGTACACTTACTCGGAGTAAATTGTAATTTATTCATATCAATATGATAAATTTTGTTTATAAGTTAAAAAATTAAGTACAAATGTTATTGACATCTCTTATCGATTAATTTCATTTAACTGAAAAAAGCACTTGTGGTCAGTTTTTAACATTTTTTTAATCAAATTAATTAAAAAATTTTGGTGGAAATCTTTTAATTAATTTGATATTAAATGGAAACAAAAAAAGAAAGCTATTAAATATGCAACAAAAATTTATCATTTCTCATCATTTCTCATTTATTCCTATCCTATTTTGGATTCATTTATTTTAATAGACCAATAAATTATTGTTCATCAAATTCTTTGAAGATTTTAATGTAATTTAATTTTGCTACCATTTTATTTCACTTGAAAAATGCAATATTATTGCTTATTTTTCAAATTTAAACGAATAAAATATGTTAGAAAAATTAATCATTATATCAATAAACTTTATTATTTAGAATTTTCTCTTTCTCATTCTTTTTCTCAAGTCAACTACGACTTTTTACGTTTCGAATAAATATGCAAAATAGTAAATTTAAAACCAGTCAAAAATGGATTTTACAAAGTTTCTTATCTTGAAACAAGAATCAATTTATCGAAACAGTTAATTAAATTATACAATTCGTCTATCTCTTTCAAAAAAGAAAAAAAATCTGTTTACTGCAGAAAAAAAGAAGAAAAGTTAGAAGATTACGGTACTGTTTTCGACAAGAAAAAGACAAATACAGGATCTGTTGATGAAGGTATAATCCTGTGGAGTAAAGCCGGACATTCAATCATTCTTCAGACAACAAATCTGTCAATCAGTGTGGAAAATTCACCAGATTTTAACACTTCAGCTAAAAACACTGTACAATTACAAGTATGATTAATGAAGTGAGTGAAAAATTAAAATTATTAAGGTCAAAAAGTCAATTGCGCAAAAAAAAGAAAAAAAAAAGTTGTAATTGAAGTTTTTTTTGCGATGAAAATATTGCTCATCTTTGAAATGTAATAAAAATTTTAATTATAATTATAAAAATTTTTTTGTTTTCAAATGATATATTTTAGGATTATTTACATTTTGCTCTTTGATTTATCGCAGTATTAACTGTTTGACCAATATTTGATGGAATTTCATTGTGATTTCGTTTAATATTGTCATGTGATAGGCAAAGCAATCTAGCTTAAATCTTATTCAAATTCTCAAATTATCTTGCAATCGATTCCATTTATTTTAACTTCATGCATGAACAATTCAATTTCATGCTCCATTATTTACAAATTCAATTTTTTTCAGATCGATTCAAAATTTATTTTAACCCAGAAAAAAAACAAAATATTTTAAGTTAAATGGATAATTGTTTTCTTTTTATTTTCAAAGGAATAAATCCCAGGAAGTTAAATAATAAGTTCTAGATAAATAAATTTAAAGAAATTGAATAGTAAGTTTTAAACGAGTAAATTTATAATTAATAAATTTTAAATGATTAAATTGAGAAAAATTAAAAACTTTTCATATTATTAATTCCACTCTTTTTAAAGCGGTAAACATTTAAAAAAATGATTCATTCATTGGAGGTGTTCTAAAAAGAATAGAATTAAGAATGATTTTCTATCCATATCATTTTCACACTTCCCAGGGGGTAACTCTAATACAAGTTTCTTTTTCCTCTCCCCTATTCTGCAGGAAATTAACATATCGGTGTGACATTGTCATCCTTGCAGTACATTTACAGTAATATGTAATGATAGTATGAAGCGGCTAACATCAAAGTAATTGACTTCTAAAACATGTATATAACAATCTCAGTAGTTAAGTGGTCGATTAGCGAAATAACATCGTCATGTAAATTACAGTTAATCGGGGACAAATGAAATCACATTTGTTGAAGAAACTAAATTTACACCTTCAATTTCGGTATTCTTTTGATGATTCCAATTTGATGTGATATTTGGCACCGAAAGTGAAAGTGTTAAGTGGTAGGAAAGGAGAGACAGAGAGAAAGAGAAGGAAAGAGAGAGAGAGAGAGAAAATAATCAACTATGTATAATTACAAATGGCCTTTATAGTAATAATAATAATAATAATAATAGCTCATCCATTTATTTCGAACCATTGTAATCTGTCATTTAATATAATAATTTTTAAGGGTACATCCTGAAATATTTGTGAGTAAGTTGGAGGTAAGTAAGTAAGTTTTCTTTTCATTATCTGATGATTTTCTGAAGCTTTTTAAAAAAATGAATTTCCTTAACTTTTTAAATTTATTAAAATTTAAGTTTTTATTGAAATTAATGTTATTAAACTAGTAATATTGCGACTGTAGATGAGAAAAGAAAATTTCTACCAGCTTACAGTATAAAATTTTGAAGAGCTTCAATTTCACATGATTATCTTTTCATACAGATATTTTATTTCTTCAAAAATTATACGTACTTTTCAAATTTTTTGCACATATCGTCATTTTTTTTCATTCCATGAAAAAAAAAAACATTCATTTTGGTAATAAATTATCAATTCATCACTTGAATTTATCACTTGCCGGTTCAATTTTGGTAACAAACTATCAATGGATCGGATTTATCAATCAGGAAGGTAAATTTATCAATGTTATCAGGTAAATTAGAATATTATTAGATCGACAAATTAAAATTATACAAACTAAGTATTCTAAATTTGATTAATTGATGGATGAAAAAAGTATTGTATCTTTTCCGGAAGATTCCCGAATATGATTTAGTTTTTTTTATTAAGATATCAGATAATTGATCAGTTCTGATTATTATAAGTTTGTACCGTATGATACAATGTTACATTCATTTACTTGTCAAATAAACAAGTAAATACATTTTATATTTTTAAGCATTTAAATCTAAATTTAAATTCGCTTATTTTTAGAATTTCAATTTTATCCCAAACTTACTTTTTCCATTTACGGCTGATTTTAAAATTTTAAAACTCTTTTCCATAATTCAATTGTGATAAAAAAATATATCCTATTTTGCATTATTTTTACTTCAAATTTTTTTTCTTTCGTATGAATAATAATTAATAATAATTTCACAGAAGAAAATGATTTATCAGCAGGCCGATGATAATATGAAAGCATATATCAGAAGACTTATCAATATTGTTTATATTCACATTGTCTATGATATATTATTATCACATACTGATACATTTCCCACAAATTGATTGCTATTATTTCTATAATATTTTTAACAATTGAAAATTTTCAAGATTACATATTTTCAATTTTATCATCTTACATTTTTGATATCATTTATTGGTTCCAAAAGTTATCACTTGATGGTTCATTCTTTTTTGCTTAACGACGGCCAAATCGTAAAACGCCCAATGGTGATCGTTTACCGAAACGTAACACGCCCGGTATATCGTCATTACGTTTACCGAATCTTAGTACACCCGGAATATCTCCTTCCCTTTTACCAAATCTCAATACACCTGAAAATTAGTGCAACATAAACGAATGTCTGAAAGTTGCACGAAATTATGCAAAATTATACATTTTATAGAAACTGACCCGGAACATCCTTTTTTTCATAAATACTTTCATCAAATGGTGTTATATGCGGTATAAAATTCTTGTAAACTGGATCTGTTTTGTAATCATGTTTGCCAAAGCTAAGTATACCTGAAATATCATCACAATTTGTAAAGTTTGATTTCAAAATTCTAATTTCTTAAATGAATGTATCGAATCATTTCTGCGTCGCAAGATAATTTTAATATTTATCATTATTTTCAATCAATCTATTTATTCAAAATGGATTAAATCATTCTTGATATAATTCTATTAGAAGACAATTTATCCCATACGATCATTATCTGATGATTATTTGAACGATTAAATTAAATTTAACCATTCATTCAAATGATTGCTATTTTTTTTGCTTTTCAAAAATTTGTAAATGCTAGCTTTGATTAATTCATTTTGATCCTTCCCAATAATAAAATTATTATTTATTTGTTTATTTTTAGTTATTTAAAATTTTTACGCACTAAAAGCGGTGATTTTTTTCTGGAAATCATTGAAATATTGTAAAATTAATGAGATTAACATGATAAGCTTTCAAAAACTTTTGTATCAATTTTTAGCATTAACTTTAAAAAAGAAAGTACTGGAAAAAAATTGGAAGTTGTATAAATTTAATTCTATCTTGCAACATGCAAAATTTTTAATTTTCTCTTTTTATTTTTTTTGACTACCTCTTCAAAAATTCCTTACTTATACTTTTTTATCAAGTATAATATTTCGATAACTTAGTGATTTTACCAAATGTCCAAATATGTCTATTCTCCCATTCTTCATTTTCCTCTTTTTTTGCCTTACATTTATTCATAAGTAATTTTTTTTATAATTTGAAAGTCTTCATTTTCATTTTGTTTATTATATTTTAATTTACGATTAAATCTTTACTTACAATTTTCAGAATTTTAATAAGCATGAGTTAAAAAAATGCTTTTGACATTAAAAAATTGCTAAAGAGAAACGATATGAACAAAAAATGAATGAGTGAAATGTTCAATTTTAGAGAAGATAGACTTCATTATAACAATAAGCTTCATTATTTTTCTAGAACGAAGAAAAATCAAATTAGAATTATTTCGAATTTGGCAAAAAAAAAAACGCCATCTAGAATCAAAAACTTTGTTAGATTTCATTTGATTACTTTTTAGCAAAAGTAAATGAAGTGAAATTGTTGATAGAGTAATTTTTAAAATTACTTAAATAATAGATTCGTGATGCATTTTCACTAATAATAATAATGTAAGATTAAAATTTAAAAAAAAATAATGAAACCTTTTTTTATTAATAATTCAGTAGCAGTTGGCTCGTATATATCACTTATTGGCCTGTAGGAATCTGCAAAAAATAAAAAAGCATCAAATAATTGTTCAATTGTGCAATACTTGCAATTTCATTGTATTTTTTTCATTTTCATGTCATTCTAAACTTTTTTTTTTGCAAAAATTTAACGATAAAAACATGCATTAATGTTTAAAAATGCATTTGGATGAATTTTGCAAGAAATGATTTTGAAATAAAATAATATACTGTTTCAAGCATTTTTTGGCAATATTTTGTAATTAACTTAAGAATGATTAAGGCCAGGTGAATGATGCAATATTTGTAATGACTGGAAAAATAAATCAAATCGTTAATAAAATTTTAAAATATTTAGGACAGATATTTTGTAAAAAAAAAGAAAATTATGGAACTGCATTAAATTATTAATGTTGCTCGAAAATTTGGGATTTGATTTCGATCTTATTGAAAAATAAATGAATAGTTTCACTAAGAATATAAATTCTGAAAAAAGTTTCGTAAAAAAGAAATTGATGGAATATGATGGTTGTAAATAAATGCTAAATGTATATTAAAAAAATCCAATAAATGCTTTATTTTTTGCTAAATGGATGATAAAAGATGTCTCCGTGAAAGAAAATTATTACTTTAAGCAGTCAATTCAAAAAAAAAAGAAATTAATCAGGTTCAAAAAAAATTCCATCAAATTGGTTTGAAAATAATTTTGAATGAAACGGAAACTTAGAAAGTTGTTGAATACAATTTAAGATCGAAACAACTATGTAAATTAAACGCAAAATTTGAAATTTAAAAAATATCAATGTTCAGTAAGCTTAAGCTGGTCTCATTTATTTATTAAATGAACATTTACAGTTTTACATCATTTTAAAAATTATCATTTTGAATTTTTTCTATCAACTTGAGTGGAACATCACTTATTTCAAATTTAAGCCAGATCGCTTGCAGAGAATTTTAGGAAAAAAACTGATTGAAAAGGAATCCTCAAAATTGTTAATATCAAAAAATATTTGTTGCTATTAATGGAGAGCATTTTAATATGATTAATTAATTTAGCAGCTTACATTTATTACGAAATGGATTCACACGATTAAGCAGTTATTAAAGAACAAAAGGATGAGAGTTTTTTTAGCTTAAAAGTATGATAAAATTTGAATTGATTATACATTTAGTCCAAATTTTGTTAATTTATGACAAAGAAGTAAAAAAAGATTGGCAACTAATATTTTGAATTAAATATAAAAATTGGCTCCTCTTATGATTACTTCAAACAAGTTGTCCCATTCCTTATTATATTACTTTTGTAAATTTTTATCTTTTCTTTTTTATAATTCAAATTTCAGATTAACATGCAATAAAATTAAATAGAAGGTTTCAGAGCATAAAACATGCCATTTTTCATCCACTCAATCATCTTTTTCGTGCCAAAAATAAGCTCAGTCATTGCAATATTAGCCTATTGGACAGGAAATTAAGAGTGAAATTGGGATGCATTGAGAGATTTATGAAATTTAAAATAATTGGATTTGTATAGCATTAATTTATCGGAATGTCGAAAATTATTGCCTTTTAACTGTTGACATTTCATTTGCAATTTCACATACATTTAATATCAGAAAAGGAAGAAATAGAAATTGCTTTTATTTAATTAATCAAAATAATCGACTCAAAAAACCGTTCTTTTTTTCTTCTTTATTGCACATAAATTGTGTTATTCTCAAATTGATATTATTTAACAACTGAATATAGCAAACATATAATGCACGCAATCCATACAAACTTGGTATGGAAATCGCGAAAAATTGAAAATTCAATTTATATGCATTAATAATTTATATCATTCATAATTCTATCGAGAATACATTATACTAAGGAACTATCTTTTGTTATTAAAATATTTAACTATTTTTTTTTTTACAAAGTAGTAAACATTCTGTGGAATATTCAGGCTAAATTTTTTATTGTTTTTTACAAAATGGTAAATATTCTGTGAAATATTCAGGCTAAATTTTTTTTTATTTTTCACAAATATCAATAAATAATCATTTTCATCTAATTTTTAATCTTAAATTTTCCATTTTATTTCGCTCTATTTTCACATTACACTTAAAATAGTTTTATGATATTTGAATTAATTAGCGTAAAATTTTTGACTTACTCGAATTATCCATTTGAACATATAAAGGAATTGTTGTTGTTGTTGTTGTTGTTGTCATAATGGTAACAAAAATAACTGCAAACTTCACCATATGCATCATCAAACCTGCTGTTTCCATAGTTTTAGGAAGATAAGTAAATATCCAATTCAATCCAAATTTTGAGGCTGAAATAGAGTCACAAGACAGAATAGAAATGAGCCAGAAAGTTTTCTTTTTTTTTTTTTTGTTAGAGTGCCTGTAGTTCTTTGAATTTTTTCACTTACTTTTTTCACTCTTTCAATTCATTCTTCCCTTTTCTCCTTTTCTTTCTACATTTTTCTTCATTTTTTTATTTTTTAATTCATTGAAAAGATCCCACCCACCATATGCATCATCAAACCTGCAGTTTCCATAATAGCCAAAAGAGAGAGGGAGGTGAGCCTCCCTCTCTCTTTAGACTATTATGTTTACCGATATTAGTTCTGATTGTCAAGAACGAAATTCATCGTTCGTCCCTCTTCATTTCATACCATACAATTCGAGATAGATAGAATTTCAATAAATCTATTGGGAAACATACTTAGAGAAATTCTAAATTTCATTTCATTTTTGTAGCTGAAATTTTTTTAAAATTAATACAGCTAAAATATTCTTCCATAAATGTTAAATTTCAAAGCCAACATTTTCTCACTGAATAAATCTATCAAATAATTTTGAAATACTAAAGCATAGTTTAACAAAAATCATTTAAACTTTCCATTGTCACAAATTTGCAAATTTTTAACAAATTTTATTATTATAGGTAAAAATTGACAATTTTTTTTTTAAATACACACCGCTTAATTATTATGCGTGTCAGATATTGTTCACAATTATTGCATAATCTTTTTCGATAAATTAAAAAAATTGAAAAATTAGAAATAGGGTAAGATAGAAGCGCAAAAAAAGTGATTGGCAGGCAAAAAATTTTCAAAAGATTGCAAAGTTTATAAATTCAACAATTTTATCATTATGATTAGAAATTGATAACTTTATCGTTTAAATTATCAGAAAAAAGAATCGTTTAAATTATCAAACCCGTACTTGATAAAATAAAAAATTACATTGTAAAAAGAAAAAAAAGAAATAAAAATTTAAAAAAATAAATTTTAGAGAAATTGGTTTGTTGCAAATCAATTAATGAATACACTGCTAAAACAAAATTGAACTTAATTCTATCAGAATGAAAAAGAAATTTGTTAAATAGAAATGAAAGCAATTCTTTTTTCCTATCATATCATGCAATACTTATTTTATTGCGCCTTTTTTTTGTTTCAAAATGTTAATTTTACATTTGTGCTATAATCCAATCATTAAAAATGAATTTCGAGAAAGATTCATTTGAAAATCTTTTCTTTTCATTTCTTTGGTCAATGTACGAAATTCGTTTTACAAATATCAATCTTTTTGCAAATTCTGAAATTCAATTCCTTCCTTTTTTCAATTTAGTATGATAAGAAGTGAGAAAGAAACATACAATGATATGAAGACAATGGATTATTTAAATTGATAAATGATGATATGTTTTAAGATATTTTCCGAGAAATTTCATTTAAAACTTAACAACAGATAATTAATAAAATAATTTTTTAATAATATTGTTAATCATATTGATTATTCGGTTTCTATAACGTGATCACAATATATTAATTTATATTGAATTTAATCCTGTTGACAAATTTAATTAATTATTTAGCAATTACAAGAATTGATTGCTATTGGAAAAGTTTTATCTGTATTTATAAAATTTTTTTTACTGCATCTACTATAGTATTTTAACTATTACATTCTGTTCTTACTTATTTTATAAAGAATTAGCAATAGTAATAACAATATTGAAAAGTTAACAATTTCGGGGAAAAAAATCAACTGGAGTTACTCTGCAAACTTCAAAATTACTAATTATCCACCTGTTTACCTCGTTATCTTAGCTTTTAGTACGTTGCTTAGCTGAATATTTTGCTATCGCATCAGAATTTCACGATAGAAATTGCTAATCATTCATTCATGCTACAATAATTTGTATTATTAATAGTAGATTAAAAGATTATTTAGTAAGTTATTAATTTCTTTTTGTTCCATTAAAGATTTCACTCTGCTGTTCATTTTTTTTTATGTTTTTTAGATTTAAATTTGTTTTAAATTTTGCTATAATTTTTAGGTTTAAAATTATTAACAAAAGAAAAAAAACGACCAATCGCTTTGGAAAAGTTTTGCTCTTTTTTTGAAGAAAAAAATAAATTTCAAAATTTAAAGTAGTGTATAATAGTTTGGTAGCTTCATTTGAAAATTCTCAACAATTCTAAATAATTTAAAATTTCTTTTTCAATACTAACCTATGTGCAGATGGTAATTGATTTGCACTATTCTGGAAGTTCATTATTTAATGCCAAATTATAAGTAATCCCAAATTCCAAGTACGGTGTGAAAAAAAAATCATTTTTATAATAAAAGATTTTTTTTTTACCTTTAGAATTTGCCATACAATGATCAAAAATTTGTCATATAATGGTAACAAATTTCAAACTTCGCTTTTCATTCCTCACATTCATCCATTAAATTCATCTATTCATCTTTCCTTCATTTCAATTTATTCATCAGATAGAGGGATAGCAAAAAGTTGGGGGAGGGAAAGAAGAAAAAATGCTATTAATTTATTTATTCTAATTTATTGTAAATTTATTCCAAGTGCAAATATATAATTACATGCTATACATTAAATAAGCAGATAAAAGTTTAAAAAATTTTAATTTCAGTTTCATCCAAATGATGGAAACAAAATGAGGCAAAAATGAAAAATAATGGTAATTGTTATAATCTTGTTGATGGGCACGCTGACAGCTTGAATTGTGAAACAAAAAAATTAAATAAATAGAAGAAAAAGGAAAACTTGAATAATATGGATAATTAAAAAGAAAAAAAAAACATTGCTTTTTAAGGTTAAATCGTAAACAATTTTTTCTTCTTCGCTTATTTAGAAAGACAAATAATATTAATTGCGATAAAATTAATGCTTCATTATCAAACAAATTGAGAAAAAAAATTTGCAGAAATAACTTTTTTTAAGAGAAGGAATGAACGCTTCATTAAATGCATGAATCAAATAATTGATGAGAAATTTAATACTTTTATCTTTTTTTTTAATATAAGTTCTACATGTAGATAAAAACTAAAGGCTAATTTCTGTATTCATTAATTTTCATAAACAATTTCATGGGATTATCAAATGGTTCACTTAAAGAATTAAATACAAATCATTTCTTGTAATAGC